AACAGCTCTGCTGCAGGTAACAGTCCAGTAAGAGGAAACTACTGTTGTTCCCCACTGGCTCTTCACATACCAAGGACTCCAGTGTGAGAAATGGACAGGGGTCCTGCAGCACTGCTCTGTCTGCTCAACTCCCCGTGTCTAGAAACCAAGTGAAGTAGTTTAGACTAGTCTAGAAATAGGCTGATCTTCACATGTGGGACTCTGGTGTGAGAAACAGGCAAAAGATTTGCCTTGATGGTCTAGTCCCCCTGGAAATGGGAAGACTAGAGCAGCCACTGCTCCCCATGCTTTCCCCAGACCAGGACCATCCCATCCTTGGGAAGGCACAAGGAGTAGGGGAGAGAAGGGTGCTTGCAGGCTGAACACCTATACTGGTTCCTCTCCCAGAATTATTTCTAGGAGTGGAAAATTTGTACACAGCCTTAAATGACTCCATTGCTTCAGTGGCCTGTTCTCTGGGATCTCTCTTACATTTACATGGTAGAGAATTCATATATACTTTTAATGTGGGAAGACACGTGCCATGTGCTGGTACAGCCATTAATGTTAAAGTCGTATGTAACAAGAGTTTCAAACAGAAAACATTAGTCTCCCCTCACTTTGAGCTGCCTTCTTTTACTGGATTAATTTCTCTCACTGGATAATTTAGTCCAGAGAAGAATAGTCTTCTTGTTAAATACTAGAAAATTGTTCCCAAAACATTTTAATTCCATGCCCCCCACCCCCAACGCTTTAGGACAAAGCTACTAATTATTAGAAGATAATTGACAAAAGTATCTTGAATAAATTCTACTCCATTTGCCAAATGACTCCTAGGATACTCTCTTATTGGAACAGAAGCAATTCTTCAAAGACTTTCAGAATATTTTATTTCTTGAATGGAGAAATGCTGAAGGTTTAGCCCTCATTAAAAGAACCTAGCCATCTCAAATGATACAGACAACTTCTGGTTGTAAAAAGATGTCTCAGTTGAGCCAGGCATGATTGTCCTGGGGTCTGACTTGCATACAAACAGGCACAGCTCAATCATTTACACAGTGCCCTTTCAACTTGCATCATTGCTCTTCTGCAAGTAGGCAGCAAGCCTAGACTTGTCTCTGGAATGACCCATAATAACCCTACAAATGCACATGGCTTGGGAAATGTATCACTCATACTTCAGAGGGACGTGAAGCAGAACAACAGACATGCACAGCTGTAGGACCTCAGGACACAAAGCTTTCTCCCAGGATTAATGTAGTGCATGTGGGTTCAAAAGCCATCTTGCAAAGGGCTTGTTTCTCTTCTCTCCATAGCAAGTCCAGTGCCAGAGACCTCTTGCTATTCTTGGTGATCAACCTACAAACTGGTCAAAAATTGTCTAACTCACCATATCCTATAAATATTTGGAGAATTTTACTGCTTACGGCTGTAATTTGCCCTGCGTGTCTACTGCCTGGGCTCAGGTATTTTATTACTTTAGCTCCATGGAAATCTTTCTGCTCTAGATATGTAATTTACCAACTCAGCTTTTGTTTTAAAAAAAGCGGGTGGGGGGGGCTCTAATTTCTCAATGTAAGTGTACTAGATATAATAATATAGAGATATATTATATATATTCTATTATAATATAGAATTATAGAGATACTAGAGATCTTGTACAGAGACGAGATAGAAGTATACGTATTTCTGAATCAAAAAAAGTGGAATTTTGTTTTTCAGGTTCACAATCAGCTTGCAAAGGATGGATCAAAGATGTGATGGTAATCTGCTTCCAATCATCTCAGTAAGGACTCCATGCCCTGTCTTGTGAAACCCAATCTATCACAAGATAGCACAACATTCAACAGTTCTGCCATAGAATTTGCCATCTTGCTACAAGCCTGATCCCCAACACAATTTTTCTCTTCAGAGGATTACACAGCATGCTCTCTGCATCATCCTATGAAAATGGTCAGTGAATCAGGTCTGGAGTCCAGCTTACAGCCAGAGAACTACTAGACTAGAAATATACAGTGGCACGCTGTTAGGCGTGCAGCAGCTGAGGCCCAGGATGCCAAAATGAAGAGCCTGCAGCAGAAATTGTTCAGAGTATGCTATGAAGAGTACATGGGACCCTTGGTTTGTCTTGGAAACCTGTGATGTTATGGGGGCCCGCTTTCTGTTAATCACCTCTGTCCTTTAAAATCATATCCTTGGGAATACTGGAGAAATGAAAAACTCGTTGTTCATCTTATGAAAATGAAAAGAGGGCCTTCAAAGTAGCCTCTACATCCAGTTCAAATAATTTCCCACTATTATAATTGTTTCACCACTTCCACTGACATTAGAAAAGTTAAAATTTCAAGTTTATACTATATAGTATTCTAAACCTTGTCATGTGCAGTAATGCAGACACAAAAGAGTAGCGTTTTACTTACTCACCTTTAAACAGAGTTGATACAGGACTTGAGTCTAACAGTCCATAGAATACATGTTTTTGGGAACCTTTGTATTACAACCAAGAATAATGCTAAGGTTATCTTCAGCAGAGCACTAAAGTGGATCCACAGACATGAAAAACAATTTTCCAAATGACAATTTAAAAGGTACTGTGTAGACTGCACTTTGCCCTCCTGCTTAACACACAGAACAGAAAAGAACTTTATTTTTAGTTTGGCTTTTTGTTTGCATTTAACATGAATTTTACTGTCACGTTTTATTATTTAATATAAAATAAGTTTCATTATTTAAAACTGAAGTTGTATGTTGTATACTAGAGTAGCATATAAAGGTTTTAATCATGACCTGAGTACTTGGATTCTGTAAAAATTGAATGAACTGTGCCCTCCAAGAATATGAAACCAAATTAATTTCTGGGTGGAGCCCAAATTTTGAACAGATAGTTTTAACTTCAACTAACCTCTTAAAAATAATATAAGTAGTTCTGAGGCTTCACCTAGCTGTAATTTTCATATACTGACAAGCTTTTAAAAATTTTGATACAAAATATACTAACTGAAAAATTCAAATCACTGTAAATATGGGCTTTATCTTACAAACATCAAACAGTTATTTTTGCAAATCAAAGTTTTCCAAAATAATTTATTCAATACTATTTACACTGTATTTTTGCTATAAAGCCAACTACTTCACTTAATTTCAAAATGAACCATATACAGAATTGTTCCTATTTAGGTTCATACATCAGTAGCATAATTTGTTTGGGTGGAGGGAAGCGGGGCGTGACTGAGGCACTAGCCCTGGGGAGCACCAGAATGGCAGGGAGCCTGTATCGCCACCACAGCTCATGGAGGCAGAGCTTGCACAGAGGAAGCAGAAGCCTATGCTGCCCCAGCCTGCAGGAAGAGGTAAATGCTTCTCCTTCCCTGCCCACTGTGCCACTTTAGGCACCAAAATTTAAAGTTATCCTCTGTTATACACTATTGTTAAATGATTGAAAAACATGTAATTAATGCAAACCATGTCAATTCCCTTAAACCAGCTCAACGCTGGCATTAAACACAGACAATTAAAAAACTTGTAGCAAAAAACAAAAAAAGATTGATATTTGGATCCAGACTGTCACCTGACATAACCACACAGAAATCAGTTGTTATATCATTTTTTTTTTTATCCTGCTTGCACATATAATATTTTTAGTTTTTCTTTTATTATTTATAGGACCGGGCTTGCAATACTGTTGGATTAAATCATATGAAAACTGATTCACTAATTAACTGGTTACTTACTCGATTATAAAATGGATGCTGAGGTCCTGTCATACCACTGTAGTAGCTGCTGTGAGGTTGTGGCGATAAAACTCCACCATTGAAAGGTCCATTGAAGGAGGTGGATGAAGAGCAGACTGAAGAAGGCTGACTGAACACTGAAGATGCTCTAGCAGGTGCCTCGTGTAATGGCAGCGTGGGATATGGAAGTCCTCCAATGTTCATTTGATCTCGTGCAGCACGAACATCTGAAGAATTGAGTGTGTACATGTAGTAAGGGAAGGAAAAGAATGATGTAGTTAGCTCAGAGTATGCTTTGGATTGTTACGTATGAGAAGCCAGATGTAAAAATGGGCAAGCTGATCAGCACTTTTAACAAAGGATGTCTCATATCAGTTTCTACCTTAAGCTTATTAGAAAAGTAGGGGTGTACCAACAGAGATTTTTGGGGCTGATACTGATAGCCGATTTTTAAGGAGG